AAATATCCACTATGTCACTGGAATCATTATTGTTATTATATCTTCCGAGGTTTTTGCTTCAGTTTCCTAAATTCACTGTGAGAAATGAGGTTCTTGTACCACCAGACGCACCATTAGGCCAAGCCCAATGAACCAGACCAGAATGCTCACCTTTTCTGGGTATTTGACAGGAAAATTAACAAAATAACACCCATAGGAAATCAAGGCCTATTCTGGGGTCAGACACGCTACTGTTGAGCCATGAGGCCTCCCATCAAGGTGTATTCTATTTTGTAGAGAAAAACTAACCCCAGGCTTATCCGTGGCTTGATTTTTAAATTTCTTTTTAAAAGATCACTTATGGCCTGATGGATCCTGTTTAAAGACATTTATAATTCAAGTTTTCCAGATTGCTGGGAATTTAAGTGGCGTTTATATACACAAATCACAGATCACAGAAGATCCAAGATTCAGTATTCTAAAAAGGCGTTATAGCTAATGCCCACTTTTATTAATAAACCTACACATTGTAGAAGTATTAAGTACTGGGTACTAACAGGTTATTTCCTATAAACTATCTTATTTAGTCTTTGTATCTACCCAGCAAGGTTAATGTTTTTACTTCTGTTTTACTGATGAAAAAAACTGAGGCTCCAAGAAGTTATGTAGATAGGTTAAAATCCAGCAGCTACACTAGATTTGGGTGGTGTCTGCCATTTATAGAAATTGTGATAGTTCAGGAAAGATACATCTGTAGAAAAGTTAAATATTTACCGCTTCTAAAATGGAATCTTGACTCCCTTGAGATTTCACCTGGTACTGTAGATAGAGTATAGCATCGTGGACCGTCAAAAAGAACGTGTCCTTTCTAATGTTGTCATCAAAGAACCCGCATTGCTCCAGCTTTTCTATTACATGATCTTGAAAAGAAAGACACAATGCTTCGTTAATTTCTAGGAAAAGAAATTTTTTGTTTGTTTTTGAGACAGAGTCTCACTCTATTGCCTAGGCTGCTGTACAGCGGCACAATCATTGCTCACTGCAACCTCCACTTCCCAAGCTCAAGAGATCCCCTGACCTCACCCTCCCAAGTAGCTAGGACTACAAGCACACCCCACTGTGCCCAGCTAAGAAAATAAATGTTTAAGCCTCAACCTATAGTAAGTTTTTGTAGCTCCTCCTTTTATTTTTTTTTTTCTGATATCCAAAATATGACCCAGCTCTGAAATGACTGAGTTTTTTTTTTTTCTAGTAGCATATAGAATGGTTATCCCATAACTGGTCGTAGTCAACCTTGGTGCACAGTCATGTCCCTTTGGCCAAGCTAGTGTATCCATCCTCCTGCTGCTGTGGGCCTGGCTGCTAATGTTTCACAGCTGGGCCCTTGTCTGGAGACTTTCCCTTGTCCAATGGGGGCTGTGTCATCTAAAGAGGACTGGGCCTATAATTCCAGCATTTTGAGAGGCCGAGGAGGGCAGTCACTTTGAATCCAGGAGTTCAAGACCAGTCTGGGCAATATGGTGAAACCCCATCTCTACAAAAAACTACAAAGATTAGCCAGGTGTGGTTGTGTGCACCTGTAGTCTCAGGTACTCAGGAGGCTGAGGTCAGAGGATCACTTGAGCCCCAGGAGTTCAAGGTTGCAGGGAGCCACGATTGTGCCACTGCACTCCAGACTGGATGACAGTACAAGTTCCTGTCTCAAATAAATAAAGAGAACTGGGAGGTTCCATCACCACACATGGCTGGCCTGCAGCCACTGACTGACTGATATGGGGGGAAAAGGCAGGCCCCCTTGCTTCAAGGTGGTGGTGCTCCTCCCGTAGTGGTGCTCCCTGTAAAATCGGGGATCTACGCTGGACTTCAAAAACCATGTCTTTGACTGGCTTCTTCCCCTTCCTCATCCTGCTCCTCTCACTGCTTCATAAATTTCCTCGGGTATACTCTCAATAAATCACTTGTACAAGAATCCTTATCTTGGGCTCTGCTGCTAGAGAACTCAGCCTAAGCATTAGCATTTTCCTATACACATACATTCACATGGAGACAGACACAGAGACTCATACTCTTGAGAATCCTCTTGTTCTAAGGAATCTAAGTCATCTTCAGCTCTGCTCAGGATCCTCATAACAATATCCCCCATTGTCTGTATCCCCCCCCACCACTGTCAACACACACATTTCCATGCATTACCAACTCTGTGGCACAAATTGGAAGTAATATCTTTCTGGATTCAAAAATGTTCTCAGAGTTTTTACACTTTTTCATTAAAAAAAAAAATACTACTAAAGGCAGGATCTCGTCATGTTGCTCAGGTTGGTCTCCAACTCCTGACCTCAAGTGATCCTCTGACCTTTGCCTCCCAAAGTGCTGGGATTACAGATGTGAACCACTATGCCCAGCCTATTTATTTATTTAAATCTTAACTCTAGCTTGGCAATTGGAGGTTATGTAAAGGCTGTTTCTAAATATGGACTTAGGAAGAAAATCAAAACAAGGCAGAAAGGAACAAGTAGGTAGGAAAGATGTGGGAAAAATTTACAGGTATGAAGAAAAAAGAAAATTGAAAAGACAGTAATTTTTTCTTTTGTATAGGAGAGAACTTTATATGGTCAAATGATAAGGAGAAAAAAAAGTAAATCTTTGTCCTAAGGTATAATGCCAATTTTAAAAAGCAAACATCGGACAAAATGAAGATTTAAGCAAGTTGTAGAAAGTTTGTAGAAGATAAACATCATGAAAAAATTATGGATCAAGTTGGCTAAAATTAGAAGGGAATTATTTGTAAGTTTTTCTTAAAATTGAGCATTAGTATTAAAGCAAAAATATTAAACTGAAGCAAGGCTAAAGTTTGGGCCCATGAGTTGAAACAACAGAGTTTTCTCAGAGCATTGGTTTTCTCTTAATAGAAAATTGTGAGAGGTTTTCCTTTATCTTCTAGATAACTGACCTAGAAAACAGAGATTTCATGTTTTCTCAAGGTAACTCTTGTTGTGCTTTGTGCCTTTGAACTCTTTTGTCACTTTGATCCTATTTTTTGACCTGTGATCCTATTTTGATCAAATGTTTTAAACATTTGGGATTTGACAAACTTCTCAAAAATCAAAATTAAGTCTTTTTGACCTTGAACTAACTGTGGGATATTCCAGAGGACCCTGGAATTTCTCAAAGAATCTGTGAAAGAGAGATGTTAACCCAACTGGCCTTATCTGATATGTTAAATCATATGGGAAGCATTGTTAAATTAAGAAATGGTGCTTAACATTCTTTGAGCTGTATTTATATAGATACGTTATTAATATGTTCCAAAATTATATAACATTCCTAGAAATGTGATATATCTTGGTATAAATGCTACCAGTCATAATTTTGGTTATTTTATTTTATTTTATTTTTATTTATTTATTATTATTATTTTTTAAGACGGGGTTTCACCATGTTGGTCAGGCTGGTCTTGAACTCCCGACCTCAGGTGATCCGCCCCCCCTTAGCCTCCAAAGTGCTGGGATTACAGGTGTGAGCCACCACGCCCGGCCATTTTGGTTAGTTTAAGTTGTTGTGTGCCACAGAAATAACCAAATATCCTGGTCAATTGGGTAACTCTCATCAGATCTTTAAGTATAGCTACTGTAAGTCCTGATGTCCACAGTTAGTTGTTTTGTTCTGATACTTTTTCTGAAAGCTCTGTGTAAGCCATTATAATTCTAAAGTGCTGTGACTTCAAAGAGTTATATGAGAAGAATGAAAAGAACTCTGACAAATACAGGTTTCTAATAACTTTGAGTTTATACCATTGAATGGAATTAAACTGCCAGCCAAGATCAAACAGAGCAAGAATTAATTACATGTAGGGGGATGAAGAAGAATTGTGGGTTTTATGGCTTTTGTATTTGAAACATTGCTGGTTCTTTTAATGTTTGTTTTCCAGATTTACAAAAAAAAAAAAGATTTTTAAAGCTATCTGTAGTTTACATCATTTGGTTAAGCATACTTTTCTTTCTTTTTTTTTTTTTTTTATTTGGAACAGGGTCTCTGTCACCCAGGATGGAGTGCAGTGGCGCCATCTGTGCTCACTGCAACCTCCACTTCCCTAGCTCAGGTGATTTTCTAGCTTCAGCCTCCAAGCCCAGTTAATTTTTTGTAGTGGGTTTCGCCATATTGCCAGGCTAGACTCGAACTCTGAGCTCAAAGCAATCTACCTGCCTTGGCCTCCCAAAATGCTGGGATTACAGATGTGAGCAAGCACACCCACCCTGGTTAAGCAAACTTTCATAAACAAAAATTGAAACGTTTGCTTTTCCTCTCTACCTGAACCTTCCAGAATCTGGAAACTCTTCATGAGTATTCTTGTTTTTATGGCAATATGATTATTTACATAAAAGTTCAATAAGAATCTATTCTTTTTAATAGAATAAAATTGGAAAACATTGGTTATGTTATCAAGGCTTTGACTAGAATATCATATTTGAAAATGCACACAGAATTCCTGGCTTTAAGGACTCCTAACATTATAGTGAGTAAATAAAAAGTTGTCCCTTACTGGGAGGCCCAGTAACTTCAAGATATTAGATACATCAGGCAAAGTCTAATGTCTGCTGTGGTTTGACTTCACAGCATCAAGAAGTTTTAAAAAGTCCAATCTGATATTCCTTGTCAAAATTTCTAGCAAAGCAATTATGTTTTAGAGACATGGTCTCACTGTGCCGCCCAGGCTACAGTGCAGTGGCTACACACAGGCACCGTCATAATGCACTGTAGCCTTGAATTCCTGGGCTCAAGCCATCCTCCCACCTTGTCCTCCCAAGTAGCTGGGAATACAGGCACACATCACCACACCTGGCTTGGCAAAGCAAATTTAAAAGGAGTCACCCATGTAGTTATTCTTGCTATACTGTGTAAATAATCAATCAGGCCAAGTTTGAGAATAAACTTACTTTGTAAACAAATTGGTCTAATATGATTGTCTTTGATAGAAATAGAGGTGACTACAGAAAAAAAATATGGTTCAAAAGAAAAGCATAGTGTAACTGTCCTTAAATTGTAGCCCTGTTCAATGTTTATGAGTTTTTACTATCTACCTGTAGAATGAACTGGATTCTTAATTCTTTTAGCTTTCACTGCTATCTGGCCACAGCACTCCAATGAAGACCAAGAACTACTCAGTTCCTGAAGCTCTATAAGCTGAAGCTGAACAACTCAGCACACACATTTCAAGAGATGAATCTCGTGCTTAAAGTGTGGGCCACACAGAGGGTTCATCAGAACGCTGGATGCCATAACTAGAGACAATAAAACTGCAAACCAAAACAAGAAGTTGCCAACTTCATGCTGTAGCGTCTCCAAGACTGTCAGAACAAGACTCCCTATCACAAGATTCTTATTCCTTTTAATTTTCCCTTACTTGTGCCTACCTCTTTCACTTGGCAGCATACTGCTGTAGTTAAAATTTCACAGCCGGTAGCTTGTTTGGGTAACTTACACTTTCTGCTTTATTTTAAACCAGTCGTGGAATGCTAGGTTACCTGCTAACTTAACAAGGAAGAATCTGTGCTGTTGGTGACATTTCTTGTTGCACATATATAAAGACATCAGGTACTATAAAGACTTGTTGGTTAAAACAGGTAGACTCCTTGTCTGGCTATTCAATTTAATTTGGTTTGGTTCATAGGAACCCTGGCTAAGGAGCATACTATAAACCCTTGCTGTTATCTTCCTGATGGTCATAATAGCAGTCTTCCTGTACATTATACCCTCGTAAAGTTTTTAATGTTTTCATTATAGCCATCTGTCAGTCATCAAATGGTCTCTCTCTGAAACAACAAAAACTCAGAGAAATGCATGATAATGAGGAGGGCACCGTAACTATACATGACTTCCTGAGACCAGAAACCCAAAATGATGGTAACAGAGTAGCGCCGATCTCCTACATTTTGTTCACTGTCACCTAGGTGAGAGTCTGCTCAAAAGGCGTGAATTCATCCATTAAAAATGGGAAAGACCATTGTTTTACTCCCCTTGAGCTTTGCCCACCCAGAGCTTTGTGGCTCCTAGCAGCTAGAACAAAGAAGTAAAGCAACCTTCGGTGGCTTGGGGACCACGCAGCTGTGCCCATCCTGGGGTCATGCAAAGCACAGGCACATAGTAAAATAAAAAATAAAAATAAAAGGCCATTGTTTTAGACTAAGCTCCTGCACTAGGCCCCAACCGGCAAGACTAAAAATCAAAATGGAGTCATTCAAGCTAAAGTTTCAAGTCATCAAACCTAAACTAAGTTGTTATCTGACCTTTGAAGAAATCAGGAAAGAGGGGTAACAACAAATTTCCCAAAACAGGCCAGTTTAAATTTCCAGTTGGCATAATAATGAAGCGTCCTCTGCAATAATCCTTATATAAAAAAGTATCCTGACATGACCTCATGTTAACTAATCCATTATTTTCCTGCTGTTCTGTCTCGCTGTCCCTTACTTACAAGAAAAGTAACTTTGAAAGGACTAATATACTCCTTGTTGTTTGCTTTTGCTTCCTTTAGCCTTTTCTGTCTATAAAACCAACCTCTTCCACTTAGTTCATTAAAACACTTATTCTATTTTATGGAATGAAGCATTGCCAGATTCTAGAATTGCAAATAATGACAACGGAGACCTTTAAAAGAAAAACTAAAGGCCTTCAGACATAATGTGCCCACAGTTCCAGGTAGGAGAAAGGGGAAAGTTAGGGGAAGTTAGGGTAGGTTAGGGGAAAGTCTTACGGGTGGATATATAGATATATGTATTTACCTTGAAGTGATGCAAAGTACACATTCACATCAATTCTTTGGAATTCTTTGACAATCTAAAAATAAAAAGGAGAATTTGTAACAATGAATAACTTTATCTACCCATAATTCAGTAGCATTCAGTACTTGCTCAGGAGAAAAATAATTACTTTCATAGTTAATCAGGACTTTAAGGAAAGATTATTATTGCAAAACCATGGAGGTTTTCAACCTACAGTAATGGTACAAATAGGATTATAGCTCAAGACATGGCAACATCCAGCACTCAATAACACAGCATTTGATAGCATGGAAGTGCTAAATGAACATTTGTAGAAAGAAGAGAGTTTAAAAGGCTTCTTAATATAGCCCCTGTTAGGCCAGGTGTGGTGGCTCATGCCTGTAATCCCAGTACTTGGGAGTCCGAGGCAGGCAGATCACCTGCAGTCAGGAATTCGAGATCAGCCTGACCAACATGGAGAAACCTCGTCTCCACTAAAATTACAAAATTAGCCGGGTGTGTGGTGCATGCCTGTAGTCCCAGCTACTTGGGAGGCTGAGGCAGGAGAATTGCTTGAACCTGGGAGGCGGAGGTTGCAGTGAGCTGAGATCGCGCCATTGCACGCCAAAAAAAAAAAAAAAAGCAAAACTCCATTTCAAAAAAAAAAAAAAAAGCAAAATAGCCCCTACTGATTGGAGAAGAGATACAGGTGTGGCTATGCTCATCTGCTTCAAAATATAACAACTGACCTAAAAGTCAAGGCCTCTGTTTTGAATGTCAGTGTCCTGACTGTGATTTTATACTACAGTTTTACAAGTTGTTGGGAGAAACTGGGTAAGGGGTACATCGGATCTAAATAATATTCCTTACAACTACATGTGAATTTACAATTATGTCAAAATAAAATTTTAATTTTAAAAAGTCAAGACATCGTCAATAATAAAAGAGAATTTGAAAATTGTGGAGGAAAACAAATCAAGACCTCTGTTCAAGTATAAAATTTGGAGTCTTCTTTAGCTTTCATAACTGTCATTGTAATACTTGAAAGTAAATATTTGTTGTTTGGGAAATATTCTGGCGTTAAATATGTTAAGACCTTCCCCAGAAGTAATTCAGTAAACCCTCCGGCCAATACAATCTACAATGGATCTCAGCCAGTTCTTAGAGTGAAATGTACAACAAAGAACAAGAGTGTTTTCAAATGAGCCAATAACAAAATCTGCTAAGAGAATCAGAACAGAACCTGTCAGCATATTCTCATACTCTTTTGCCAAGCATAATCACTTCTCTACCTTACCTGCCTGGTACCCACATCCTGGAATCATTTCCTGTGCTTACAGAGGTAGTGAAGAAGCCCTAGCTAAGCTGAGCCTCAGTTAGGGGTCAGGTTTATAGTATTACATCTGATTGTTGGTGGTTGGAACCTGCTTACTTTTCTGCCTGACCCTCTTGATACCTACCTGAAGCTTCACCTAAACTTGGTGCTTCAGGTGATGTCCTATTCATCTTCTTTGGAGCATTTATTACAGTTTTTATTTGTAAGATGACTTAATATTTGCCTTCTCCTCCAGACTGCTAAGTCCCATGTAGGTAGAAACTGTGTTCACCTCATCACTAATCTCTTGTGCCTGGCAGAGTGCTTAGCACTTATTAGGCATTTCACATCTATTTGTTGAAAGAATTAATGAACTTCAGCTTGCATAACTGGTTTCTGATATTATTAACATTTCTATCCTGCATACTTCTCAGCTCTTGCTTTGACCTTCCAGATGCCTGACTTGCTTCCTAACCTCTGATAATGCCTGGCTTTTCCAGTCCTACCATGTACCTGGTATTCCTTGTCCTGTTGCTGTTAACATAACAAATAGAAATGTAATACTTAACAAACTTTTGCCCATTTTCTTTCTTCTTTTTATATTCCATGTGCTCAGAAAGATAAAACATAATAAATGTGAATTTGCTGAGGAGTATCTATGAACCAGATACTCTTCTTCTATTGATTGATTGATTGATTGATTGAGACAGAGTCTCGCTCTGTTGCCCAGGCTGGAGTGCAGTGGTACGATCTCAGCTTCCTGCAACCTCTGCCTCCCAGGTTCACACGATTCTTCTGCTTCCCAATCAGCTGGGACTACAGGCATGCACCACCACGCCCAGCTAATTTTGTATTTTTAGTGGAGACGGGTTTCACCATATCGGCCAAGCTGGTCTTGAACTCCTGACCTCATGATTCACCCGCCTCAGCTCCCAAAGAGCTGAGATTACAGGAGTGAGCCGCCGTGCCTGGCCTGAACCAGATACTCTTCTAAACACCTTATATCTATTAGTTTATTTAACCCTTGTAACGACCTATAAAGATAGATACCACTGTTACCTCCATATTACAGTTGAAGAAACCAAGATATAGACAGATTAAGCAACTTGCCCAGGGTCATACTCCTAGTAAGTGGTGAAGCTAGTGGGGTAGCCAGACTACCCTAGGTAGTCTTGCTCCAGAGCCTATGCTTTAAAATATTACACTTTTCTTTTTACAAAGGCATTCACCTAGAAAAATTACAAAGCGCATGCATTTGCCCTGTTGCAAAACTGGACAACCCATATCATTTTACTATAGCCAAAGCTCCAAATATATAATTCAGGAAACCAGAACCTTACCACCCGCAGTGACTTCACTCCAACAACGTCCAGGAAAGATATAGCTCCACAATCAAGCACGAGGCTATGGATTGGCACTTTGGGAACGTTCACTTTGACTGGAAGCTCAGAGTTCCAATCCACTTGAATCTCTATTTCCTTGGTTGGGATATCAAGTTCCTCCGGATCTTCAACATCTTCATCAGGCTCAAAAGCATTATTTGTTGAACCAGCATCACTTACAATGCCATTCTAAACAAAGAAAACACTGTTAACTTCATTGCAAAGATTTGAACTGCCTTTCAGCCATTCATATCGAATTATTCAAAAGTCCTAAACACTGTTCCTTGGTAAGCAAAATGTCAAGGAGATGAATTCTTAAGGATGAGTTTCACCTCGGCCCAAATTTTGACGTTATCTAGGAAGAAAAGTGGGAGAACAGAGGAACCAGGAAACTTTTGATTTCTGGAAGATATGGAACTTTGCCATTGGCCAGAGAGTCTGAGTACAAGTTAATAGCTCCAAAACTGTATGGATTAACTGCCTTCTATGGCGAGTATGTTTCTGGCATTGAATTTGCACTCACTTTGTTCCTTTCAGTAAAAATAAAGTATAAAAATAATGCAGATGCTGTCCATGGTGGGGAAAAAAATCACATCCCATGTTTCCAGGCAGTGCTGCTGATTTTATTCATTCCCTTCCATTCCCTCTTGCCTATAAGAATAGCTCAGTTTTTCTTTGATACATACATATCATTTGTTCATACACATCAGGGTACTAAAGGGGATACATTTAATTTTAGACCTACTCTCATCAGGGAAAGAAAAGAATTTAAGGGGGAAAAGAAAGATGTTGTCTCACCTTTGTTGCTCTTAATTGTCCATTTTTTATGAGTTTCTGTATTTTCCTCAGTGCTTTCAGCCTCTTATTATATACTCTAATGGCATCAAATCCAACCTTTGGAAATAAATGTCAAGTTACTTAAAATGCCTGGCATCTAAAGCTTATCAATGGCAACTGTTATCTGGAAAGGCTATTTCTCAAAGGGTATAATTCCTTGAGATAGCCTGCCAAAAAAGAAATCATAAGGTCCAATGGAGGAGATCTCCCTCTACTACCAGGCTACCCTACTCCTACCCAGAAGCTCAGGGAAGACAGTAAAAGACAAAACAGAAAAAAACAAAAAACCTCTTTCATTTTAAGTCTGTGTTTTCCAAATTCCCTTGGTATCACAGAGCCCTTTTGTTATATATTCTGTGAACATTCCTCTGAATCAGTTTGCCCTGGAACTCACTTAGAAAAACACTTAGAAGGCCGGGCGCGGTGGCTCAAGCCTGTAATCCCAGCACTTTGGGAGGCCGAGTCGGGTGGATCACAAGGTCAAGAGATCGAGACCATCCTGGTCAACATGGTGAAACCCCGTCTCTACTAAAA